GGGGGAGGCTCAGACACAGCAGAGGGGGGGACTGGAGAGAGAGAGGGGGAGAAAGAGAGAAATGGTTGCTGACCTAAATTCAGACTACAGCGCCTCCTGCAGTAGATGGCCTCACTGGCAACGCACAGTACAAATGATTCATGGAAAGTGGTGAAATTGAATCATTCAGTAGGCAGTGAAATGCAAGATAACGAAAGAGGGGAAAAGAGAACGAGATCTGTGGGCAACTTTAAGAGAGAAGAGAGACTGAAAAGAAGCAGAAATGGGAGACATAATGGAAATAAGGGAGTCACAAGGGGGAGAACGATGTGACAATTATCTGTATTTCCACCATGGGCTGAAGACCTGAACAGATTAGGCAAATTTGTCCACTGACATATGAAAAAGCAAGCAATGTATTCCCTCTTCCCAGCAACATTTTTCCAATATATATAGATATAATCTCATCTGGTGTTCTGGGTATACCGCGAGGTGTCCTATCAGTGTTTGGAAAACCTTCAAACGTAGGTGCCCAGGAGGCATCCTGTTCAGCTTGAGCCACTTCACCTGGCTTCTTTCAACGTGAAGGATGAGCTCTACTGGAGCTCATTTTGGATGTCTGAGCTCTTACCCCATCTCTAAAGGTGAGCCCAGACATACTACGAAAAGGAAACTCTTTCCAGCCACTTATATTCTCAATCTCATTCTTTCAATCACTACCCAAAGTTTCATGACCATAGATGAAGGTTGTAACGTAGATTGACTGGTAAATCGAAAGTTTTGTCTCCCAGCTCAGCTAACTTTATCACAATCTCATTTTCACAATGTCGCAATTTTACCCTCACTCGTGAGCAAGACCCCAAGATACATGAACTCTTTCACTTTCACAGCAACTCACTCTCAACCTGAATAATCCACTGACCGATGTCCTCAAAACCGTCCACTTTGTGCTTAAGGTCATGCTCTGATGAAGTCGACAGAACCACATCATCTGTAAAGAACTATATACTAACTATATAAAATATATTTTTTAATATTGGGGTCAGAGGAAGTGCTCTGCTGTGGGCAGCTAGGCAGGTTAGAAAGGCATTTTTTTCATTGGAATCAAACTTTCCAGGATGTTGCATAATAAGGGTTGCAGAAACTCAGCTGGGGACATAATCATCATCTCACTGGAGAGAGAGACAAAGAGAAAGAGAGAGAGAGAGACCCAGCGGACTTAAGACTTCTTCTGCAATAGTGCATGTACTGATTCTGGAAGGGACCAAGAATGAGGGGGAGGATGAATGTGTGTGTGAGTGGGACCTACAGTAATACTTTGATGTAAAGGACAAGGAGCAGAGAGAAGCTTTGCATCGTGACAATGAGGCAGCTCCTGGCACCCCTTGTAGGTGAAAAGAGGATGTCTGCTGCATCACATTGCACATATTGCAGTGGGGTTGGTGGGAAGAGTGAGGCACAGAGGAGGGAGGGAGTCTGCTGGGAGGTCAGACACTTTATCTACAGAGCTGTGTAAACAGCAGGCCGTGGAGACCGAGAAGGAGGGGAGTGAGGAATTGGGCAACAAACTACTGATGAGTGTCTAGGGGTGAATATAAAAAAATATATTTTTCTCATAATTGGTCAAAATATACCAAAACAATACATTGATTTTTTTGGCTTGATCTATTGTTGTTTAAACACATTCAAAATTAAAATTACCATAGGTCAGAGGTCACATTTTCATCCAAAACAGCAGATCTAGTGCTGAGTTGTGTTCAAGATCATTTCAGGTAGACAGATGTTTGCAGACATAGCACCTGGACCTGTTCTGTCCTGTTGAAGGACAGTACCCTTAGTTACCACATGACCTTGCTGCTATAAAAAAAAAAAATTTTGTGCAAAAGGAATTAATTTTTTCTTCGCCCTTGGAGTTCTTTCCTGCACTTTTTGAACAGGATAACAGGAGTTCTGCACTACTACTTTATATGTTCTACTTTATACATAAGGTATTTATACATCACAGGTACATGCTGCATTACTACAGAATAATGTAACTCTGACAAAAAATAAAAGCAGACTGTTCACTGTATTTGATCTCATTCAAAATGTTGTGCTTTAGAAAGGTTGCCCTAAAAGGTGATTATATGTCTGTCTTCACTGTCCCCAAGTGGCCAAGAACATCAGGACAATGATTTTACATTTTGGCACTGAAAATAAAACCTGAAGTGCAAAAAAGTGTTTGAATGCCAATGTTTCTTTTTTCAGTTCAGGTTTTATTTTTAATGCCAATTCAATTTACAGTCACTGTGTTGAATTTGTAAGTGTAGTGACTTTATGACTGTTCTCTACTTGGGCTCCTGTTAGACTTCATTTTAACATGTCAAACATAATGATGTCTTTAAATCACTAACAGAAGTCTGAGTACGATTAAGATTTTGGAGAATCGTATGAATCACATGAACATGAAAACTGCCTGCTCAACAGGGTGAACTGTAATACTTTTCCTGAATGGAAGTTAATACGCATCATTTGGTTTTATAATAATATTACATACTTGATCTTTTATTGACATGAATTAAAAAATATGATAACCATGCAGCTTTCCTATGACATAGGTTGGGGCATTTGTAGTGCTTATTCAGTCCTTTTTGTGTTTTATCTTCTACCTCTTGAAAGTACTTTTGCTGTGATATTTGTAGAGGTTTGTTACATGGTTATTGTATTTTACTTTCAGCTGGATGACAGGGAAGGTGGGACACAAATGGAAAGACACCACTGCTGAGACACTATGCTGTTGCAGAGAGGCCATCACTATATATACACTGATTTACCTCCTTACCTGCTGTATATGGGTAGAAATCAAAACCAATGCGCCCTGTATTCTCAGTGTTACACAGGTGTTGGTACCCTGAGTGAGGATGAGCATTTGAATATGCTGTCCTTCCCTTTCTTTGCCTTCTATGTGGTTATTGTAACGTTTTTTTATGCTGTCATCTTAGCCAGGTGTCTCATGAAAAAAAATCTAATCTTGTTAAATAAAGAAAAAATTAAAACATGGAACGGTGGAAGAGTTCAATAGACCAACCGGTAAGAAATAGGTCATTTTGTCTTGTCATAGTAGGGAAAGCACAGGTGTTACTAATAACATTAACAAAGCATCTGTTCTTCCAAGTGTCCCAGTAAACCATGACAGTGTGACAGTGAGCAACCATGTGCAACACCAAAGCAGCTCAGTGGAATTCAGCCATCATTCATTTATTTTTCCTACTGGGATGTGTCAAAATGACTTCCATTAAGAAAATCTATGTCGGGCACCTTGGTAGCACACCCACTTGTTAGAGCTGGTACCGCATGTGCCAAGGCTGCAGCCTAGCTGTAGTGGCCTATTCAATAAAGGCGAAAATAAAAATCTATGGTTCCTTGTTATTCAGATGGAGCAGATAAAGCAATCACTGTGAAATCAAGTCTAATTGATTACAGTGGCTGCATGTTACAATCCTTGATATTTCACAGTGAGGGAATTAACATTAATCTTATGTACTGTATACAATATGGGATTAGCATAAAGTGGGCACGTCAGCAAATGGGAGACTTGTTGATAGCGACAGAACCCATTTTTATTCAGATAGTTTGAGGTCAGAGGTCAAGGAATACCTTTGAAAATGGCCATGCCAGTTTTCTATCGCCAAAATGTTGCCAAATTTTGGAGTGTTATTTAGCTCTCTTCCCAACATGCCAGCACGGCAGCCAGGTCATCTCATATGATATCAGTATCTTCACTCTAGCTGTCAAACAGAGCTTGCTACAGCCTCTGAAAGACAGTGTGGAATGGAAGAGGGAAGGATAATCTTCAGGGATGGCCAGTACCATCCCAGGACCCCCCTCTGGAAATGCCCCTGTGTTGACCATTATATGTACTCTTACACTTTTGCATTGTACTGTATTCAATATTCAATATGAAATGAAGGTAAGCTGTGCAACAAAACTAACAGAAGAGTGTGGGAGATGTCAATCAAGCACAGTTTGAGGTCTACTGGCACATATGTAAAAACACCTGTGTGGGTTGACTTTAAATTCACTTATATTTGAATCCCTGAGTATAGGTTAATGAAACAAGAATGACCTTTCTGTTCTTATTTGTAGAATTTTACTGACAAAACCTACCAATATTAATAAGTTATGATAACATTCCCAGTTTAACCATCTATATATTCACCATTCTAGTTTTGAACGACTGACATAAATCTTATTCATCTTATTGTATCAGGTTAAAAAATGATCTGAACTGGTTTTCATTGACATTGGTGCTTTATGGGCATAGCTCAAAAGTCTTTTTGTGTATCACTTTATCAGTGCATATAGTGGAATACACATACTTGTACTAATACATATAATAAGTGCACTGGGCTGGTAGCCAGCAGCAGTAGGCCTATATGGCTTTTGGCCAGAAGATGTCACTATACAATAAGAAACAAGCTGCACTAATCTGTAACGTTAACGACCCACATAAATTGTCTGTCTATCTATATTTGACATCATAACTATTACATTAAACTACTTACTATACCACTACCCCTATATCATGTGTAAACAATATGCTAAAGATACCGTACATGCAATAATATAATGTAGTTTTTTGGGCGGTTTTAAATTAAATATTTTAGTATTTAAAAAGAAATGAGAGCAGCCCCCCCTAATAAGACTGTTAAGATTATTAATATTAGATAAGACTATAAGGTAATTATTTGTGAAATAATGTGTGAGCACCAGTACTTTAATCACTGACGGTAGTAACCAGATCATGACAATAGCCTCAGATGTGGTTTGCTGGACAAATTAAATCTAAAGATTTAAACAAGATTTTCCTGATCTAGTGTTAATAATTGTGTGTATAACTATTTGGAGCAAGGTTGGAAGGAAGCCCCTGTCAGGATACAATCTGAAAAGCACAGCTCTTATTTTGAAGTCAGGGTTGAGAGAAAGACAGATACCGAGACTTTTATTTTGAAGTCTCGTGTCGCTGGCTCTCCAGTCACGGGCAGAGCAGAGGTAGACCGAGAGGCTCAGTACTCAGTAGTGGTAAAGCTACATTGGCAGCGGCAAGTATGAGAGGAGATAAGTTTACAGGGTGAGCTAGGCTGGTTGGCAGCCGCTGTCGCATTTTTGGATAAACAACGCAAACCGCTGGACGTCGAGAGGTCGTGGGACAGTTTGTGTGTACTGGTGGACACAGACGGGTTTTGGATAGAGAGCGGCGGCAGGAGCAGGAGCAGCGCCAGTGTGTGCTTCGGCGGCGGTCCCGCTGCTAGCGAAACATGAACAAAAACCACCGAGTGCCGAGCAACCGTTCTCTGAGTGCCGTGGAGGTGAAGAGCAAGGTACATGTCGTCTTCGTTGTCCCTTTACTGTCTACATGTGTAGTCTTAACTCTCCCTGCGATGATTACTCTGGCTAATTTAGCGTGCTAAGTGGCTTGATAGCAAGTTATGATGTCGCACAAATTATAAAGATACGAGCTAAAGCTTAACTAGCCAACCCAGGTTTTGTTACCTCGCTGGCAGCTCGCCATACTTTAAAATACTAAAAACTTTAACCGTGGTGTAACGTTTGTTTGACTCTGAGTTGTTCTGATAAGTTTGATAGCTAGCTAGTAAGTTTGAAGGCGGTGGTTACTGTCAGCTGACGCCGCGGTGAGCCCGTGTCACCTGTCGCAGCCTCCTCCGGCGCTCCCTCCGCTCATTTACCAAATATTGACTCAAAGTTTGATTCAAGTTTTAGTTTAAGAGCAAACACAAGGGATGTTTGCTTACGTTACACTAGCTTTTGATGTCAAATTATCCCGGCATTACGTGTTCATACCTGCTCGTCACGTTATTTCCCCGTGCGTACAGGCACAGGTGTCACGGCCTGCGTGCGACAGGCTCCTTCCGCGTCCCGCCTGTGACATGATGACACACACATGCTGAGGAATGGGCCTCAGGGCGCCTTTTCTGCCCCAAACTACTCTTTATACCTACATATGTTGACACTGAACAAAAACTGTGACCTTTATGTTTCTGTACTTAGCAGTTAAGTTTGCCCCAACCACTTTACACAAAGGAATAACCAGTGGTGGACTGTAAATAAGTACATTTAACTTACTCCCGTACTTATACTTTTTACTGCACAATAAGTATACTTTTTTTTTTTTTACTTTTCATACTTTTACAGTTGGCCAGTAACACTTGCATATTTTTACTTAAGTAAGGTTTGAATGCCTGGCTTTTACCTGTAGTGCTGTACTTTCACAGTGTGGTATTAGTGCCTTTAATACTTCTTCCTCCACTGGTAATAACATTCTTTTTATTAGACTTTGTTCCCAAACAGTCCAGGGTCACTTGAAATGTGTTGTCTTCTAATGCCTTACTTACCAGAACCAGGCCTGGGTTGTTTCCCCAATCTAATCTAATTCTGCTTTGTACTAATGCGTAAGATGACGAGTGTCCAGGACAGGTTGGCAGTGAGTTGCAGATCATCTTTTGTCAGTGCTGGGCAACAGTAACCACAACACTCGGTTCTTCTCATCAACAACCACCAGTGGGACATTGTGCTCTGTCTCAGCTAAACAGTTGCCTAAAGATTAGACATCTGCAGCCATCGACCCATTCAGACAACACTGATTACTGTGTTACTCATAAGCCAACAGCATGTTTTGTGGGTATGCACGTATGCTGAAAACACATAGTCTTTCATACAACTGCACAGCAAACAATCTATCATTACTTTATTACAGTCTTGAACATAGTGCATCCATAAAGACATAAACATAGAGATATACACATCATCACCAAGTCTCCATTAATAATTCAGACTGACCGACTCTTACATACAGCTTACAGTTGTTTGGAAATGAGGCTACCAGAACACATGTTCCTTTGTACGACATCTCACCTATCTCACTGTTTATTCAGCTCTTGAATAATCTGTTTCTCCCTCCCACCAATGTGTGTTTGTATGATTGCGCTCACGTGTGTATGTCTCTCTGCTCCACCCCAGTTTGGTGCGGAGTTTCGTCGGTTCTCTCTGGATCGCTCGAAGCCAGGTCGCTTTGATGAGTTCTACGGCCTGTTGCAGCACGTGCATCGCATCCCCAACGTGGAGTTGTTGGTGGGTTACGCCGATGTGCATGGCGACCTGCTTCCCATCAACAATGATGACAACTACCACAAAGCCATCTCCACTGCCAGCCCTCTACTCAGGCTGTTCCTGCAGAGGAAAGGTAAGCTCGGAGAAAGTGTTTGAACAAAGGCCTGTTTGTTAGGTCAGATCTGTTTTCCAATGGAAATACAAACAAAGATCTTGTGTTAGTACAGAATATAAATATGGGATAGGCTGGTGGACAGGAAAGTATGTTATTCAGCTTTGTGTATTGTCTAGATAATCAGAAAGATACAATTCTAAAAGACAGCAGTATAGTCTTATCTTTTTAGTTATTAGGCTGCATGTTGCCCATGTGTTTTGTGCTCATGGAGCTGTCAAACAAACTGTCAAACTCTCCTGTGTCCTTTGGTGTCCCTTTCTGACCCACATAGCTGAAGGTCAGCGACCTTGCTGAAGCTGTGTTTGTTTCCAAAGACAATCTCTCTGCATGGGCTGGGTAAAACACATAAAGACCTGTAAAGAGTAGATCTTTTTTCTCTCTGACCACCATTTATCAACTCGTCCAGTTAGGATATCCTGACTTTTTGGCACGGCGGTCACACAGGTGGTGTGTTTTTGCTCTGTGACTGTTAAACACATACACTTTTTGTATACAGTACTGCTGTTGTTTCTTTATTCCTCACTGGCTCTGGTGTAATTATTACCAATAACTATTATAGTTATTGTCCTGCTAATACAGTAAATAGTAAGGCAATTCCTTTATTTCTTCAGGTGCTGGGGGAAGTGCTTAGAAGTTTGTTGATGCTGTAATTTTTGCTCGTGACTGTAGTTTGCTAGTCATTGTTTGACATGTTTAGGGATTAGAATAAACCTCTCAGACTAGATAGATATTGATACAGTCTAATAATTGCAATAATTCTTGAAGTGCACCCAGTGCTGATGAGTTGCTGAGTGTGACCTGTTGAATGCAGGGAAGACCTCAGGGTTTGTTGACTGGGGGCAGGTCGGGCCGCGCGCTCTGTTGTGTTTAAGCTGTCTCGCTGTGCCATATGACCCTATAGAAGCTAAGCCACTTTGTCAGGAGGAGATTAGTGGGGTCACTGTGTAGCGCTGCATGGGACCGTGTTTCAATTACACGCTCCAGACACTAGCCCCACGCTGGGATCACTGCTGGTCACACACACTCACACAAAAACACATGAAAAAAACAGTCACGCAGCCAAGCAGGCATCACACATCCGTCACGCACTTGCACATGCACCGATAGAACAAGGACAGAAGACGCACACTAATGCAGCCACAACCCCCTGCAGACCCCATTGCCTTCAGCCCCTGGTTTCCCTCCTGATTTGTTTACCCCCCTTCACCCTACTGCTAAGCACCAGTTGGTCCCAGCTTAAAAGGCTCTGCAGTGTGCGGATGCAGCAAATTGGCAGCTTATAGATCATTTATTATACATCTGCAGACACTAGTTGTTATCTCTAGTGATGGCTCTATCGTCAGTTAATAGCTTCTCTACGGTGGGGCCAAGTGAAGTATATCAGGCCAAACGCTGAACGCTAAGCACTGTTTGTTTATGTGGAAACTTTATCTGGCATCTTTAAAATCTGCTGTCTTGGCGTCCGGATGATAAATTGACAGAGGATGACCATTGATTTTATTTTGGCCCTTCATGACCTTGTTTGTTGTCATGGTGGTATCTGCACAAATGATTCTACACCAAAAATGTGTCTTTTTTTAACACCCTCATTTCATCAAATGAGTCAACTCCAAACTCTTCTATGTTATCAGCAGCATAGGAGGAGGGTCATAGTGGAGGGTCATAGTGAGTGGGTCACTCTTGTGCAACCCTACGAAACTATTCAGCTCTTGACTGCTGAGTAATTCTACTGAAGCAGTTTGTGTTCAGTGCCCCACAGCGTATCGGTCTTTACTGTCAACCCCTACTACTATGGCCTTTAACACTGCAATTGGGTGATTATGTAAATGTATGAGGGGGTCGGTGGTCGGATGTGATGTGATTGGTTATTATTGCATAAGAACAGGACTTCAGACAAGGCAGCAGTGTGGATCCAAGTTTGTTACAACTTGGCCTTTATGGAAAGTGCAGTGAAATCCTATTACGCAGATATCTGGGAAATATGCTAATAAAAATAACACTCACTCTCCAGGCTTAGTGATTGCAAGCATGGTGTGTGTGTGTGTGTGTGTGTGTGTGTGTGTGTGTGTTAAAAGCTAAAAGTGTGTAGTCTCGGCACAGTTCAGTCCATGCGTGTTATTTTTGGCTCTGCATTTTATTTGTCTGGAAGACTAAACCCAGGCTACGTATATCCCAGGCTCTGTGCTCTGTGGGTTAAATTGAGATGGTTCAATGGATGGATAGAGGGATGGATGTTAGGCTGTGAGTGTCTGTTGCTGTATTGTTGTGGTCTGGTTCTTGTATAATGCCCACATTGTTGTTGTTTCTGCATCAACGCTACCTCACTGACCAGCCATTAGTGTTGTATTGTTCACTGCTGAAAAATGGGGCTAAGTGTTTGTGCCTGTGCACGGACTACCGGACTCTGTCTATGCCAGGCATTTTTAAAATTGCTTCAACACACAGCGGTGCAACTCAGCAGCACTGGGTATCCCCTACATCTCAACCCCAGCTGTGAACAATGTGACAATGGCTATTGAGCTGGCAGTGGTGTCCACTGTTTATTGGTTGTCATGGCAGCAGTGAAGGGGCCTGGTGGCTTAGGTGGATTAACAGCGCTAGAGTCTTTTTTTTTAAGGCTGATGTGGGCTGCAAAGCATGCTGGGAGCAGTACTGCTAGCATTTGAAAACAAAAACTGTCCTCAGGTGGGTCTAATCTGTCTTTCTACGCTTTATTTGTGGTTTGAATTCCTCTGATATTGGTGTGTGTCAGAGACTCTTCACAAACCATCTGAATCAGGATCAATAAAATCTAAATGATAGCCAGTCCAGGCAGCACATTACTTCACTGATACATGAGAGTTAGAGCTATTTCCAGGTCCACACTGTTTTTGCTCAGCTCCATGTAAATGGAGAATGTTGTGGTTAGTCAGCTGTCGATGACAAACAGTCCACTGGATAATGTTGATGTTAGTTTCTCTCTTGTTGTCGTATCAGTGACTGCTGTTTTAGATGCTGATGAAGAGCAGCCTTTGCCAGCTGGTTGGAGACATGGTGGTTTTACATATAGCCTTTTGCTAGCCCCCAGTCAGTCTGTCAGTTGTTGTTTGTCAGAACTCCTTCCCTTCTGCGTGGCTTGGATGGGAGGGAATCAGTAGTATGATAATGTGATAAAGTAGGGCTGGGCGATATAGCTGAAAAATGTACCATGATGAAAATTACTTTTAATGACCCATTTTTGACTTCACTCACTCCATTTTGCCGTATGAAGGCACACAGGTAATAATTTCAGTGTTGTGTCATACAGTATTGTCGCTGAGTACCTCTCCATCATGGGCTGACATGTTGATTGTTTCTTGAGATGTAACAGATGGAGGTTGTGACTGTACTCCAAAGGGTGGAAGCTGTGGTGGTTCACTTATAGCATGCTCCACTATCAAGGGATATGATGATCCCGGTTTGCATTTAATGCATTTAAGTGAAACTATTAGGCATTCTATTGAGCAATTATCTTATTGCTATTGATGAAATGTCTATTGATGATACATACTGCTATTGTTTTATTGCCCAGGCCTATACAGTGAAAAGCTGGAGCACCTGCTCCACCTTCCTGAAAGCTCTTAAGACAACTGTGTGCTCCAGCTCTCCTCTTTCTAGACTCTGCCTCAGTTGTGCTTTGAGATTTAAGTTGGTTGATGTGCAAAGACTCCTACACAGCTCTCACTATTATACCCACACTATTACTGGATTTTCAAGGCCAGGACT